TTCTTGTACAGTGGTTTTTAAAAAGTTCACAAAAGCTTGGAATTACAGAAAATTGCAAACTAATGAACACAGTGTTTAGTCTGATAACTAATAGTGAACTATTTGAAAGTAACATTGAACAATGGAAAATTGAGATGTTCTAAAAGAACTCAGATCTCTCCGAAAGACAAATCATTCCTAGAAAATTGATAATTTTATATTCTTTTATATTTATAGTTTTAATATTTGTACAATATTAAAAAATACATTTTAGGTTCAATTAATACATACTTGAATGTTCAATGTTTTCAATATTATTTTCAAAATCATCTATATCAATATTCATGGTACTGCAAAATATTAAAATTATCATTACAGATTATATCAAATATAATATTTTTGACATTTATATAAAATATATAATTCTTATGGTTCCAACAAGCAAGAATTTCGTAAAAATTCCATTGAGTCACAATAAGGCCATTTGTTTCCATTGTTTTTTCGAGCAAATCCACTGATGCTAGTTTCTGATCTAATTATTCGTCGGTATGTATCATATAAGCTTTTAAATTTTGTTTTAGCTTCAATGGCTGTAATTTTAAAGCATTTGCTACTTCTTGCCATAAATATTTTGTAATTTTTATGTTGCGTGAAGTTTATAATTCCAAAAAGGCTCTTGTAACTGAATTTTTAAAAGAGTTTCTTCATCATCATGATTAAATTTTGCTTTTAAGCCTTCATCTGAATTTCTTCGTTTCTCGTAAGAATTTTTCTCAGATAATATTCCTTGTATAGGCGTAATAAAATTTAATAAAACTTAAATACAATAAAAAAAGTTTTCACATTATTTTGATACAATTATCAAGTTTATTACCTATATTTTTCTAGTGTGACTGTTATTATTTGTTTTTATGCCTGGCACTTTGCTTTTTATTCGTCATAATCATTCCATCATCTGCAAGATATTAAATAATAACATGTATTAATAAATAAAAATATATATGTATATTAAATAATAAATATAATAAAACATCTATCTTTTAATATATAACAGTTATAGGAGCTGTTAATTTATCTAATAAAGGATAAAAATATATATAATGTATCAGGTTCAATTATGTATTATGTAAGATTATATATGATATATATTATATATGATATATGTCGTAAATTATACTTTTAAAGTATGATTTGCGATCTACTTGCTCGTTTCACATAACCCGCACGTTTGTATGAGATTGAGGGATTCATCCTGAAAAATATATTAAATTTAATGCTACAAATATTTCTAAATTACTTCTAATTGTTAATATTGTTATTTCATATTTTAACTAATTATAATCTTTATTATATCTTTCTCAGTCCTTGTAAAATTGAGATTATAATATATTATATGTATTTTTAAGATATATTATTTGGTTTGTACGATACTATTGAAGATCGTAAAATTTAGAAAATGTAAAATTTGTAAAAATTAACTACGTACGTCAAAGTTTTTTATTTTGAATCAAAATGATTAACGAAGATCCAGCGACGATGCTAACTGTTAGTCAAATTGAATTTCATTTCTTTGATGCTAGCGTCAAGCAAAATAGTTACGTGATGTCTTTTGACGTCGAAACGAGCGTCAAGCCGGTCATGAAACTTTTATTCATTACGGTTAAGATTGGCCAAAAAAAATGTAGCGCAAGAACACGTGTATTCTTCCGCGCAATCACCTTTGCCTTTTGCGTGATATGATGAAAAAAATCTTTTATTTGATTTGAAGACATGATTTGAAGACATAATTTTCTTGGATCAAAATAATCAAAGCAATCAAATTATTTCTTATATTTATATCATTACTTTCTTAGATTTAAAAAATTATTTGTTTAAATTAAACAAATAATTTGAACAAATAATTTATTTATTTAAAAAAAAAGTTAATAACATCATTTCTAAAATCAAATAAATTTTTATTTTTCTTTCCTCAAAGATATTTTCACTTCAACTAATTAAAACCAAATGAAAAAAACAATTTTTTCAATTTAAATATAATTTTTTTCTCTGGGTGAAGAGATTCTCTAATCCTGGAACATATAGCGTTTTTTATTGGCAATATTCCGTTCAACGAGAGAATGATCGAATAAAAACTCATCCGTTTTGCGTAGATCTTCATAGCGTACAGCGTTACATTGCTTGCTATGCGCAAACCGAGATCATTCTCTCATTGAACAGAATATAGTGCGCACTCAATGCATTTTAAAGCCGTTGTACACAAATCATAAAGACACATAAAGATACATACATTCAATAAAAATATAGAAATGAATTAACTGTGAAATATTCAATACTAAATATTAATACAATATTTTATTATGCTATTTGATAAAATACACATTAAACATTTTATCAATTGAGATATCTCACTTTTACATTTAGATTAGAATGGTGTATATACAACAGGTTTAATGTGCACTGAGTGCGCACTAGTTCTGCTAATTAAAGACGTTATTTGCAACCAGAATTAAGCATACATTAATAAATATAACGTATCATATATGGTTTTTGGTACTCTTATAATACCATATATTATACGTATTTTTTATACCATATATTGTATGTACTTTTTATACACTGTTAAAAATGCTTCCTGTACATATAAATAAAGCTCCTAGTTATGAACAAAATTAAAAGTAATAATTTAATTGAAAATTAAATTACAGTAATTACTTAAAAGTGCACATTATAAATTTCACAACATTTTATGAAAAGTACATTAAACATAAATTTCTTACTTCATCTTTTCTCTTTTCCTCTCCAACATGGAAAGAAAAAGAAGAAAGAACCGTACAAGAACATTACAGTTGAAAAGAATAGACCTTAAATGTTGATTGGCATTTACATTGCGCGCGAGTTGGTGAGATAAAGGCAAGAGCGAAGCTGAAAATCGATCGACAATTGTAAGCAGAATTGGACAATTTAGAGCTGCGTAATTTCATACATTTCCTATGTGTGTGTTATTACATATACGTATAATATAATTATATACATATAATACATATAATACGTATAAAACTTACACTTAAATTCAAATGAAATTTAATATAGCTTTTAAGTTACACAATTTGAACTTAATTTCATGACATTATATTAAATTTAACGTATTTATAACTGAAACAATATTTGTGTACATGTACAATAAATTTCATGTGCATACATTAAGTTATTAGAGATGTGTTAAATTTCACGATGCTAAATTTCAAGAAATATTATTATTCCGCTGTTTGCGCACAAGTTCTCTTATATTATAATAACTGAATGTGTGTATTGTGCGCATGCGTGCGTGGTATGACACGTGGTGGAATATAACTAAAAATTGGAATAATTGTAGATAGTGTAAATGAATTCTACAAACTCACATTAAACTTAGTTTAAATTATATTCTCTAATAGATATCGAGAGAGTAAACAGTTCTTCATATTTAATTTTTAAGTATATTACATTTATATAATGTACATTTAAGTATATTACATTTATATATTGCATCATAATATTGAATATTTATATTGCAATTATAAGCATGACTCTATTAAATTTAACATTTTGATAGTTTTTATTTTGTTGATTATATTAAATATAATTTTATATTATTTATTTATGCGACTGATGAAGACTATGTAAGTCGAAACTAGTTTTGCATTTTTTAAATATAATTTACACATTAATTAATTCAATTAATATTATTTTACATCTAATGTGTTAGCTTGTGTTTTAGCTAATGTTTTGGCCGTTTTCTTATATATATAAATTTAAAATTAAAACATTTAAAAAAAATTTATTGAATTGTTATATTTAATGTTATTTTAAAAATTATTCCATATAATATTATAATAATATCCATATAATTAAAAAATAATACTGATTGTCAATACAA